GAGAGAGAGAGAGAGAGACCGACGGATCAAACGAAAGAGAAAAAACGAGAGTGAGTGAGACATGTGCTTTTCCATTCTGTTGCCGGAGTGCAAAGCAGGCAAAACTATGTGCTTGGGCTTTTATTTTGAGACCTTAGGGCTTCTAAGGCTTGCTCAGGCGATTCTTGTTGCCGCCAATCGTTACAACTCGCTGCTGGAGGCATTTCGTGACGATAGACGGTTGATGATATAAATCCTGCNNTGCATTACCCAAAATAAGGAATATGCCATAATTCCCGTAGTTTAGGGGTCCTAAGGTGATGCAGGATTTATAATTTATATCATCAACAGCATGTACGCGGAGCTGCATGAGCAAGCCAATGGTTCCGTGTCTGCGCAAATCGACTTCTTCGCGTGATTGGCATCGGCTGTTTGTGTTGCGCACGGGTATGGGTATTCAATTTGTTTGGTGCTTGTACGGATTCGCCGGTTTTGACCCGCTGGAAACCGTTATGCCTGCCCTCCCGAAAGCCACGACGGGCCTCCCTCATCACCAAGAGAGGGGGGGCGAGAGCTGGCTGTCTTCATGCTTGAGCCACTACAGAAGCGCTAAGTCCAGAACCCGCATTGAACCCCTAAACCCTAAAACCCCTAAACCCCTAAACCCCTAAACCCCTAAACCCCTAAATCCCTAAACCCCTAAACCCTACACCCTAAGCCTGAACCTGAGGATCTCTACGCCATGAACTTGCCATTGTTCCTTCCCGACCTCCCCGGTTTGCATCGGGTGGCCACTACGTACTTCTCCCGATTCAAGATGACACTTGCCCAGGCTTAATGCATTCGGATTTCTCGTTTCTGGTTCGGGAGGGGATCGTTCGGTTGAAGCTTCTGTGTTTAGGTCTTCCTCATTGAGATCTCTTTGTCGTTTGTGGGGTGTCATCGCAGAAGTCGGAGCTGCAGGCCGTAGTAGTGGTCTGATAGTGGTTGTAATCTGTAATCATGTCACGATTTGTGTTTCTTCGAGAAACAAGTATCCAGATCTGCGAAACGAACCACTCCCACCAATACTGTCACTGCCGAACGAAGAATCACAGCAGCAACAACAACTACTGGTATCATCGGATCAGGACAACACCGGCTGGCCAGACAAAGTGGAGTCTTGCCGGTTTGACATCCCACACCGCTCTGACGCATCTCTAAACCACCACTGTTTCCTGCGACAAGGAATTCGGCACATGACGAGCCGGGGGCCCTGCGTGATGTGCGGACTTTCGTTTAGAGTCTAGGCCTCTAGGCCTGAACACCCTAGGCCCGATCGGCCTGTGTTTTTTTTGGTGGTTTTTGAAGGGCACTTCATAAAAGGGTGCCCCTGCTGGCGGGTTTTTCACTTTAGATGTCGAGCCAAGACTCCCGGGGCCCCAGCCCATTCCACCTTACTGGTTTTAAGGGGCCATGAAAGCACCGGCTTTTTGTGTATGCGAATGCATCTGCGGGCTGAAGCTCAAAGATGATGAGCCAGGGCAGGGCCATCGGGTCTCTTCTGCTGAGCCATGGAGTGCGTGCTGAGTAGACCTGACACGCCTCTGCAGCAGCATGCGCAGTCGTTGCGGCAGGAAGGGAGTGGGTTCAGTGAAAACTTCCCGATGCTGTTTCCAATGTACACTGTACCACTGGATGCTGCTCTCCGGATGACAACGCTGAAGCCTCACGAAGAGCTGTTAGCTGCTGGCGAGTTGTCCTTGTTCGACGATGGACTAGGGAAAGCATTGTTCGTTTCTCACCAGTGGGTGAGCCAGTCTCATCCTGACCCGGAGTTCAAGCAGTTTCGGGTTCTCCAAGAAGCTCTCCGAAATGTCACTGCTGGCTTGAGCCAGATCTCGATGGACACGATCACTGAGGCTGTTTTTGGTCTTGCGAAGGGAATCTCAGCGTCAGAATTTCGAGTGAGCAAGCTCTTCCTTTGGTACGATTTCTTCTCCGTCCCGCAAGTTCCACTCGTGCTGGGCGAGGGTGGGCAGTGCGAAAACATTCAGCAGAAAGCTATTTGCAGCATTCCCGCCTATATCTCGCGATGTCAGTTCTTCATGGCCCTATGCCCAGTGATCGACAGCCCAGATGGGTCCCAGGTCTTTAGCCAGGTTTCCTGGAGTGGTCGTGGCTGGTGTCGAGTAGAAAGAGCAGTGCGGGAGCTGTCGATTCATGGTGGCACTTAGATCCTCGCAGCTCAGCTTGCCCGCAGAGTCTGTCTTACACACAGTTTATATACCCTTTAGATTTTCGGAATCCTTTTACTGATCCAAGCAACAGTGTATGACATCAAACTCATTCTTGAGGGGTCGCTAGGGAACGTAGGTAAAAAGTGCGAAGCATCAAGAAATCATGGCACCTCTGACCTTGGACCCACCGGGGGAGGGCACCTTCACTGTGGAACGTGACCGCGCGGCAGTTGCTCCAGTGCTCAGGCACAGGGCGGCCTCTGTGTTCGATTCATGTGATCAGAAAATAGACAGATCGATCCTTTGATAACCTCTTGGAGTTTCGGATAGATGGCCACAGTAGGGGACCGACAACGACGACCCTGCACAGGCATGTCTTAAAGGCGAAGTTGACCACGTACCTGGAGCAAGGCGACTTCACCAGCTACCGCATACTCCTGAACCAGCAGAGCGCGCGGCTGAGAGGTCTGCCAACAGAGCCGAATGACGACTTGGTGCCGGGATTCCAAGCTGTCCCAGGTGCTCCGAAGCATCAGAGGGCAGTGGCACAGTTCTTGCATGAGAACGGTTTCTGCCATCCGTTGGAGCGTGACGCAGCTGGCTGGTCTGTCCTGTGCTATGCTTCAATGCGGGGAGACCCCTTCCTGGTCCAAGCGCTGCTCCGTTGCAAGGCCGACCCCAACGACAAAGTCACCAAGGCTCAACCACAGCTCGGCATTGACAAGGGAACCCCAGTGCTGGGCCTCTGCACCAAGTTCAAAAATCATGAGGCCATGAAGCTGCTAATTGCGGCTGGATCCCGGATCAGTGTGAGAGGTGTGCTTCAGACTGCGCTGAGCTGCGCATGCTATGTGGATGATGCAGAGGCGGTGCACTGCCTTTGCGCTTCGGGAGGTGACCCCAACGAGAAGAACCCCTTTGGCGTATCTGCCTTACGCCAGGCCTGCGTCACGGGCTCCTTGCATGCGATGGCTGCGCTTCTGGAGCACACCCAGAACTTGGACCTCTCTCTCTCCCTGCATTGGGTGGCGATGGGACAGCGCAGCTCCGCAAAGGCCCTGGCTCCTCAGCCTTAGGAGACGTTTTGGGGGGTATACTGTACTAGAATCGCTAAACCTGCAATACGGAACCCTTAGGATTATTTCAGTCTGTTGTACAAAGTTGTTTACGAGCCGGAGGCGAAGTCTTGCAGCCTTGTTACTCGTTCCGTCGGAATGATCTACGGAATTTGAAGGTACCCTGTGCGATCGACCTTAGGGCGAGTAGGAGAGGGCTCTACAGAACTAGTAGTCCTCATCATAAGTAAAGCAAACGATGCCTAAAGCCTCATTCCAACTAGTTAGGGCTGGCGGTACATTACCCGCCCTTAGGATTTGCTCATCCGAGCTCGAGCGGACGTGAACGAGCAGTACAGGCCAAGGAGGATGAGTGCATTAGGGCTGCTGCCCGGCAGAATTCTGCAGTTTAGGACTGGGGGATTGATCGTAAGTTTAGGAGAGTGATAGTAAGTGATGCTCAGGGTTGATACATTTAAAAGATTGAGGTTTAGGGTTTAGGCGGTTTAGGGTTCAGCGGCCTTAGAGCTAGGATTCAGGGTTTCGCCTCTCTAGCGCATTCAGGAGCTTTAGTTTGCTTTGGCCGCGAACAGGTTTCGGGACCAGATCAGGAACATATACACACATGCACATAGATACCTACATGCATGCATGCATCCGTGTATGTATATATATATATACATATACACACACACACATATATATATATACACATGCACACACACACATATATATATATATATGTATGTAGATATGTGCATGTGTGTATATATATAGAGAGAGAGGGAGAGACAGGAGATATAGGAGAACGAGGACAGAGAGAGAGAGAGAGAGAGCGAGCGCGTGCCTGTACCTAGTCGTACTTCTTATGGTCTGATACCTCTATCATGGGCCTGGAGTCACTGTAGTGAGGGACTGCGACCGATGTTGCACTTCCAGTTTGCCTGGTTCCTTCTCAGTTTCGGTTTAGGGTCCACAGCACTGTCGCTTCCATGAAATGGGTCGTCAGACCTCATTGAGGGAGTGGGCTTGGCCATATGGGGGGGGGTGAAATTTCTGCGAGGTTGCGTAGCACTTCCCACCGACCAGACGAGGAATGATGCCTCGCCTGGATAGCCCGGTGTCAGCACCGACTGCCGAAACACTGAACCCTTCAATTCTACTTAGTTCCCAAAACCTTTCCCTTGAATTTTTACACACCTAACCCCTTGTCCCTGAAGCATAGAATCTATTAAAGCCCCACAGCCCCAAAACCCTGAACCCTAAACCCTGAACCCACAAACCCTAAACCCTGAACATCCACAAACCCTAAACCCTAAACCCCCGCAAACCCTAAGCCCTAAACCCCCACAAACCCTAAACCCCCTAAACCCCCACAAACCCTAAACCCTAAACCCCCACAAACCCTAAACCCTAAACCCACAAACCCTAAACCCTAAACCCACAAACCCAATCCCTAAGCCCCCACAAACCCTAATCCCTGAACCCTAAACCCTAAACCCACAAACCCTAATCCCTAAACCCGACGCTAGGTTTTGGCGCCTCAAGGGCCTCCAGTACCGAGCCGGTTGGAGATCCACGCAGCTGCGAGGGGTAGGTCCGGGTTGTCAGGGTTGAGGGCTCTTAGGGTTTAGGGGTTTTAGGGTTTTAGGGCTCTTAGGGTTTTAGGGGTTTAGGGTTTTAGGGTTTAAGGTTTAGGGGTTTAGGGGTTTAGGGTTCTTAGGGTTTAGGGTTTAGGGGTTTTGGGGTTTTGGGGTTTTGGGGTTTAGGGTTTAAGGTTTAGGGTTTAGGGGTTTAGGTTAAATGGCTACGGCTCAAGGCTTTTCGGCTTCAGTTTCAGTTATAGCGAGAAGAACTAGATTGCAATGGCTGAGCTACCTGGTCAAGCTAGTCCTGGATCCCCGGGAGTCACACAGGAGGACTCGCCTACTAAGAAACGAAAAGAGCTGGAGGATGAGGGTGATCTCGAGAATCCGGATGCTGCGTTGGATAGGATGCTTGGTGAAAAGGCCCAACCCCAAGAGGTCGTGCCTGCCTGGGCTCAGGGCTTGCAAAATTCCTGCAATGCGCTTCAGATGTCCTTTGAGAACTCCTTCAAACAGGTCCATGAGTATATGGGTGGCTTCCATACAAGGCTCTCTAGCGTAGAAGAACAGCTGGCTCAACCTCACCATGATCCTCGAGTTGATGGCCTAGAGAAGAAGCTTGATGCTTTGGCAAAAGTGATAGAGGGGAAGGGCTCGACAACCCCAGTTGATCAGCCTTCTGCTCCGACTCGCCAGGGACCAATTGCAAGCCCCTCACATCAGTGGAAGAATACTTCCCCTGCTCAGGCCAGTGCTCCAGGTCCTTCGTCGGGTTTTTTCGATCCATGGGCGGGATACCGAGCTACGACACAACAGTTGAGCAGTCATGGCTTAACAACCTCCGACACAGACTACTCTCATCTGGTCGTCGGAGGGTGGAAGTTCGACACCCCAAGGAGAGTCATCACATCGGATCTGCAGAGATTGATCGGCACATTCAGCGCTGAATTGAGGGACAAGGTCGAGCGCTCCATTGTGTATGGCACCAGGGCGCAGGTGGCTCACATCTTCTTGAAGCCATTAGAACATGATTCAGCTTCTGAAAGGTTTTACGCCATCCAAGCCGAGTATAGCAAGAAGGTCATCCTCTCAAATGGGGAACATGCATGGATCAGTCCGTCGCGAACCCCAGCTAGACGTCTGAAGAACAAGACTACGAGACAGGCAGGAGAGACGATATCTTGCTTGTGGGACGCTGGACAAGCACCAGAACTCGAGATCGGATGGCAGAAGCAGATCATCTGGCTTGGAGACTTCAGGGTTGCAGCGGCAAGCAGAAGTGACCTCGTGGCACATCGGGATCATAGGCTCTTCGCGCGAAACTTTGGAGATGAAGCTGCCACCCAGTTCTGGTTCAATGTATCGATCCTCGCACAGATCTCAAAAAAGACTGATGCCGAAGCCGAAATTAAGATGCAGGAGTTCGCCCCTAACTGAAACAGGGAAGGACAGACAGCTGACACGGCCCCTGAATTCCTCTCGGTTGACACATGGAATATACAGGGCAAATCATTGCATGCATTAGCGGAGTGGTTACAAGTTGTTGACCCAGACGTTGAGTTTCTCGCCTTACAGGAGGTGGGAGGCACAGGGGCCATTGCGTCGCAAAGCTCTCCAGAGGAGGCGAAGCAAATGCTAGGTCCGCTTGAGGAATTCGTATTCAATGACAGTGACTTGGCTGATTACCACATCTATGGTACCACAGACTTGGCTTCTCATCTTGCCCAGGTGATTCTTCTTCCCAGGGACTCTGTTGATCATATCTTTCAGACTTGCAAAGGGGAGAGGTTGATTGGGGTTGGATTTGTTTCGGCTGAAAGTCTATGCAAGAGATGGGTGTTTTCAGTACATTTTCCCCACAACGACAATGATGACGAGACATTCCAGCAGAGTATCCGACAGGTTGCTGCATTTTGCAAGCGCCACAGGTCAGAGGAGACGATATTCATTGGTGATTTCAACTGTGAGCATGGTAGTCCTAGAGCTATCGAGCTTGAATCAGTTTTCTCAGCACATGAGTATCAGTGTCTTCGTCCTGGTCGTCCAACACGCTATGGAAGAAATTCTGCCTCTGAGCTTGACTATACCTTTATTAGCAGGAGGTTGTGTACTCGTGTTCGGGGTCTGCCAGGGTCCAACATTCAAGTACACGATTCCTCAAGACATGAACTACAGAGTGATCACTGCCGCGTGTCTCTAGAGTTGACGCTGCCTGCGAACACACACCGTGGATATCGCAGAAGAAGGCCAAACAAAGGACGATGCGGCAGATGGTCCGTGGCCAATCACCTTCCAGAATGCCTGACTGGCCTGCAGCAAGGTTTCGGTGACCTTAGCCTCAGTGGCAAGTGGGAAACCTTGAAGAAGTTACAGAGTCATGTTTGTTACCGCACCCCTTCGCAGAAGTATAAGGATAGCCCCCACCTTAAACAACTCTGCAGGCAAAGGCAACAGTGCAATGACTACGATAGGCGTCTTGAGCTTACAAGGCTCATTCTGGCCAAGAGAAGGGCAGACCGCCTGCAGTGGTTGCGGGACCTAGAACAGCGAGCATCGGATGGCGACGCGTCTGCAATACGATATCTACGTGATCGAAGCCATAAACAGTCAGATATGAGCGGCATCATCTTGCAGTATGGCAGCACTGAGAACGCAGCAACCGCCATCCGATCTCACTTCTCAGAGCTTTTCTCTCTACCAGTCGAGCCGGTGCACCAGGAGGAGATCCAGCAGATCTTGGACTCTCTACAGTATAGTTCGGGTTCGTTTACAGTCCAACACTTTACGGAGGAAGAAGTATCAAAGGGCATCTTCAGACTTAAACCTGGCAAAACCTCTGGCATGTCCGGTATCTCAACAGAGCTACTTTCATCTATGTGGTCAGTCCCCGAAGGTAAGAACATATTACTGGCTTTCTTGAATGACCTCCTCGAGGAGACTGATCACCCAAAGGATCTTCACGACAGCTTCGTTGCTTTGATTCCCAAGCTTCGGATGGTGACGAGCCCGGTTCAGATAAGGCCAATAAACCTGGTAGAAGTTTGCAATAAGCTCTTTTGCTATCTTCTGACTTCCAGATTGGTTGATAGTTGGCCCCGCCCGTCCTGTCAACATGGAGCTCTTCCCGGTGGACAAGTTATGGATGCATTGGCTGCCTCCGGATGGCAAGTCTTGCACGAGAGCATGACAGAGCAAAGAGGTCTCTGGGTGAATGCTGACTTGCAGAGTGCGTTCGATTCTGTGTTCCACGTTACACTGGCGCGATTCCTGCATGAACACACACCTCCGTATTTGGTCAGAGAAAGCTTTCAGCTCCTGAAAACGATCCTACAGCCAAGCCTGAAGTTTAGTTGGAAGGGAGTTGACTGGGAAACATTACAAAACCGTGGCGTACAGCAGGGACACTCCTACAGCGCTATCATCTTTGCTTTCGTCGTTGGTCTTGTCTTGCAGAATGAGTTTGAGGAGTGGCATAAGGCAGGTTATACCAGCAGTATAGGGAATTGGGGGTGGCTGTTTGTTGACGATCTTATTCTCCGATTTGATAGCCTCGCCACGGCTGTTGCTCTGCTCCCAAGATTGCAGCAAGCCTTCCTCAAAGCAGGGTTACAATTCAACCTTCGCAAGACACAGCTCCTTATACATAACGACGATATTCCAGCAGGCGGAAGCAACACACTGCCCCTGGGACACATTCTGCGAGATATCCAGTGGAACCAAAGCACTACATACCTGCGCAAGACACTCAGATTCTTGACAACTGGAGAAGACCTCTTTGCATTGCATCTGCCGTTCATTCGCCGTGCAGTACATCAAGGGGTCACAGAGATGAAGACTGTGTTGAAGGGGCTCAATTGGGCTACTCCGAGACTTGCTATCCAGCTAGCCAATAAGTATATAGGAAACAAATGGGTGTGGATGGGACCCCTGTTGACGGCTACACAAAAGAACATCAGTGAGGTTCGCGTCCTGCAAGTCACGGTGCTGACCATTTTGATGCGACTCTTTATCCCACAGGAACCAAAGCAAGAAGTTGCCATGTCGCTACACCGGTTTCGAAGGAGAGCGGTGCTTGTCCTTTCGAATCATTGTGTGCCTCAAACATGGGCCTCGATGTGGAGATTAAGGTCATGGACTTACTATGGTCACATCTTGCGCAAACCTCCTGAGCATCCAGTTCGTCGAATCTTCCTAAGCTTGAAGTCAGCAGTACGTCCTCAAGGGGGGTTTCCCAATACGCCACTTCGCTGGCTCACAGAGGCAGCGTCTGCCGCATATGGTCGAGACTTGAGCAGTGAAGAGTTACTGGAGTCTGCCAGCGACAGAGAACAATGGCTTCAACGAGGTAGACAGTGGGTGTACGACACAGGTTCTGGTGAGTGGCATAATCCAGGAGCTCAGCACACTTGGACTAAATGGCAAGCAACCATACAACAACACGTACCTTGGATGTTCAACATGTGCCTGGTGCAGCTGCCAGACAGACTCCAGCTAGTATGGGTTGACACGGTGGAAGGGCTTCAGCAGTGGAGTCTTGATTCGCACGAACTGCTGGCTGAACTCTGGCGGATTTTCGCGCATGTCCGAATGAGCTGTTCGGCACTCGTCTTCGTTGTCAGCCTTACACTTGAGGTGTATGAGGCAAATGTTCATAGCTTCACGTCCTTGCAGTCTGATTTATTCACGTCCTTCGAGATAGTTTTGCTTACTGATATTGCTTCGAATGACCTAATCAATCGCGTACGTTTGATCCTTTAGTAGCCACGAGTGCTGCTGGAGGGTTGCGTTGCTGTCTTGCGGAGTTTCCCGGCTGGTTGCGAGAGTCCTGGATGCAAAAGGTTTTAGGGGTTTAGGAAAAAAGGGTGTCGGGCTCTTAGGGTTTAGGGTTTAGAGTGGAGGGTTTAGGGTTTAGGGCAGTCAAAGTCTCTGATCCCTGAACCCTCGACGCGACGGGCGGACAGAGCCCAAGAAAAAAGCTACTGGAGCCATCAACGCCTCAAATTCCTTTCAGTGTTGTATTTCAGGCTCTTACCAGTAAGGAGTTCACATTCTGCAACATCATATGAAGCTCCGGCAAATGCAGGGTTCCTGAACAGTGAGCCCGAAGGGCGGAGACCCCAAATCTCTCGGATTGTTGCTTGAGGTGGTTGATAAAAAAAAAGGTTTAGGGATTTTGAGGGCTTCATATGTGTTGTTTTCGAGCGGTTTTCGAGAGATCCCGGCAGCGGCTGTGGAGTCTTGGTCTTGGCGGGGAGATCCAAATAGCTTATTGCGTGTTCTGACACTATCTGTTTCTTGTTGTCCTCAGAGTAATGTTGTCAGTTAATCCGAAGAGACATGAGAAGACTACGCTTTCATTCCGGCTCGAACGGAACTGTTATGTGGATTTGGAGCCCCGGCGAAGGAATGGTCACCACTTCAACCATTGTGTTTGATGTTGTTGTCGCTTTACTCGGATACTGGATAGAGACACCCAGGTTTGGAGAACGTATGAACGTCCACCCATATGAAGCCTTCAATGCAAATAAACATTGGCAGGCTATCATCACTATGGCGCAACGCCCCTGATGATTGCCATCATCTGCGGAAGCTTGTCTGAGATTTTGGGAGGGTTTATCACCAGGGGCCTCGGTCGCTGGCGTTCAGCAGGTTCGCCTTCAACCCAAACCGCGTGTGTAACGTGCAAAACCCAAAGCCCTGTCCAGACAAAAGCCCATGGTTCCCTATCAGCCCCAGAAGCCCTGAACTCTAAGCCATGCCGGCCTATCAACCCTATGTCCTTTGGCCCGTTGTGGCCGCGAACAACGGTCGGATATGGTCGGATGAGACAAGCAATAGCCCTCAACATGGGTGTGGGTCGTCAACGGTTGCCACGGTCCGTATCTTCGGAGTTTGTTTATCTGCGCTTTAGGGCTTACAGACTGGAGCTCATGTATCTTTCGAGGGTTTACATACTGTCTGCTGTTGTTTGCTGTCATAGGGCTTATAGGGTTTACAGTCTACACCTTTTTAAGGGTTCATATATGGTTTAGGGTGGGCGTCTGGATCAGTGGTGGCCCAAAAAGCCGAAGAAACACAGGGGTAGCAGTCTAAATTAGGGTACCCTTTAAAGGCCCTCCTTTGGGGACACAGCAAGCGACCCTAGTTTAGAGAATTACCCATATCATATGGATCTCAGAAGTCATGTTACCAGAGACACCGGAAAGACGCTTGGACTCCCAAGCGTGCCTTGTGGCGTCCCTCTTTGTGTCTGCAAACTACCCGGGAAGTTTTCAGAACATAGGAGGTGCTGACTTTCGACCCTATAGAGCGTAAAGTGTGGAGTGTAGGGTTCCTATTTTAGAGTGCCCCCCCACAAGCAAGGAGCCCTAACTGTTGCAGTGTTCTTGTAGCCTGTATGACGACCTCTTTTTGAGATTAGAGATCTGATCCCCAAATTCGCACCACCAAGAACAAGGATTCATCCTTCGCAAAACCCTATGCCCCTAAACCTTACTAGTAAAATCTTGCTGGGAAGGAAACTTCGAAGCAGCCGCTGCCCTTATGGTCGCTTGGATCTGCGGACGGCTTATCGGTATTTTTAGATAGAGGTTCAAGGTATGAGCCACCTAACAGCATTAAGATCATGCGAAACAGATGAAGTGTTTCATGTAAGTTGCATGCGGCAGAACTAAAATCCTATGCCCTGAGCCGTCATTGTTTGATTTTGGCTCCAATTTTTCGCTCCAACTCTCCAAGCAGCCCTGAAATTTAGCCGCAAACCCAAAACCCTCAACACCCAAACAGTTGAACCCCTAAATCCCAAACCCTTCACACCAAAAGCCCTGAAGCCCTAGACTAAAACCAACCCGCCTTTTCCAAGCTCAAAAATCGAAAAATCTCAAGCCCTTCAACCAAACCCCAAAGGTCAGAGGGGCTCGGCTCGACCTGCGCAACTCCCGGCGCCGGACTGCGGCCGACCTTGCGCGCGAGATGTCCTCGCCAGACTACCTGTGCCTTGCTGTTTGTGGGGTCTCGGGTGCCCTAAACCCTAAACCCCTCAACACTAAACCCTAACCCCCTAAACCCTAAACTTTTCATGTTTGTGTCTTAGGCATACTACAAGGATCACTTAAGGATCACTATATGCGTTACTACAAGTTTCAACAAGGGTTACTGCAAGGCTTCCTATAATCGTAGAACTCGTAGTTTTTGCGTTGCTTTCGCCGCTGAAGGATAGCAGCATTGGGCGGCCACATGGCGTGGTGCAACTCTCTTGTCGCGCACGCACTGATGTGAGCTGCTGTCGGCCTTTCAAGTCACGTCCCTTCGTGCTCAGGGGTGGGCCGCAACGGAGAATTCCTTGGGCCAGAAACCCATGTTGCCAAGTTGTCTAGCTTCTTGGGGCACATGTGGGACCCCATAACCTGGGACCCCTGTCTTTGCCCATGTGCAAGTGCTACTCATGGGAGGCCAGGAGGGGGTTGTAGCAAACGGGCTATTGAGGAGCCTGAATTCAATGTTCGGGAGGTCCAGCAACCCCTCCTTATGGTGCCCATGATATCCCCATTCATATCATACCTGGACATGCTTCGAGCCAGTGGTAAAGGTGTTCACAAAGTCTTAGTAGGCATGCGATCAAAGAATCCTAAGCACCGCTTCCTTCAACACCTTTGTGGCTTCCAGTCAGCATAGCTTGGTGGCTTCTGCTGCGCAAAGTGCAATCCAGTCGCCGCCGGACCCGCTACATCCCGCGACTCACTCATTGATCGATCAAACTCGGGTTTCGGGGGTCTGGACTACCAATTTACTGCTACCTGCCCAAACCGGTAACACCCTCACCGCACTGAACAAACTGGTAGTACACATCTTCCATCGTAGATGCCCGTTGATGCTGTTTGTAGCTATGGCAAGGTGACAGACGCTAAGCTTGAGCAGGTTCCTATATCGGCTTTTGGGGGAGATCAGCCATAGGAGCCTGCATCGTGAGTGCTCCAACGGCTTGCGCTCCTTGCAGAATATAGATGCTTGAATTTGTAGTATACACAGCACAAAATACCCCAAGACCCGATTCAAGCTATTAAGGCCCCTTCATTACCTCTCAAACCTACTCGCAGCCTCCGGGGTCCATCGGAGAATCTTGCAGCAAAGGGTGTTTAAGGCCGAGTTGGAAAGGGACTCTGTTTTGATAAGGGGGGTTGCATAGGCCCGGAAGGAATGTCTCTTCCAGCCGCAAACCTTAAGCTGGAGATGATAGCAAGGCTTTCATGCTGGAAGATTCGAGCATTAGGATTTAGAAGGTACTGTCGTGCAAGCTGATATCAAGAGTCTTTGTTCAAACAGTGGTAACAAGGGTTAGCTGAATCCCTACTGCACTTCGCACTTAGCCTGGAACGCACCCACGTCCTACCAGCGTTCATGCCCTTAGAGAATAGGGTTTTGGGGTAATTTTTCTTAGGGCTACAAGGGGGATATGTAGAATTTGAGGCCCGCAAAAAACTGCGACTCTAAGCCCCAGGCCCTATAGCCTATAGACCTATACCCCGCTCCCAAAGTCCCGGCCCTATAAGAACCCCAATACCCCGGACCCTCCACCCAAAACGCTACCGGCCACGAAACGAGCCCGAACCGCCTCTATCTAAAAAAAACACCCAAGGAAGCCGTGAGACAACCAAACCCAGACGTTCCTTATGAGTCTCACTACAACGACGAAACCGAAGCTGAAGGTCTTGGACTATAGGAACTTGCTACCGGAGAACACCTGTGTTCATTGCCAACCTGAGATTGTAGCTACCATCTGCAAGTAGCCTCTGTTGACGTTTCTATGAAAATGCAGCATTGCCTTAGGGGTACTTAGAGAAATAATTCTTAACCTTTGGTTATTATAATCCCTACGAGACGGCTAAAATCAAAATTTTTGCTTGGGTCCCAACTTCAGTATCGTTGCGACATGAGAGGGGGCCGAAGAGCCAGGTTTAGATTCAAAAATCATGCAGCAATTAACACCCATGTGGGGTGAAATTTATGTTTCAGTTCGGTCGGCCGTGCCTGCTATGTGCTGTAGTTGGACGGTTTCTAGTGTTTGCGCGAATAGGTCGCTGTGTATTCTGTAGCAGGGCCCGCGAAAGAAGGTTCATGTAGAAATGCTGCAGAACCCACCCATGCCACAGCTCGAAGACGAGTGGGAAAGGCTTGAGCCCACCTACACCGTTTGTACTCCGCCCGGAAGCCATATTCAGCAAACCAGCGGATCATCTCTAAACCCTAAACCCCAAACTCTAGACCAAAACCCTATGAAGCCTCAACCCCAAGCCCTAAACCCTAAACCAAAACCCTAAAACGCAAAAAACCCAATCCCTCAGCCCTGAACCCTAAGTCTCAAACTTCAGAGTCACGAACGCCCAAACGCCCGAAGACTTCCTGCAAGGCAGCCCTTCGGTGAGCAGATGATAAGTGGACGCAACTCACCCCACCGGCCCCTCGTCTCAGCCATTTTCACCAGGGCTCCAGGGCCGTTTTCTTTTGGTTTAGGGCCTTAGAGTTTAGGTGGGTTAAGGGTTTAGGGGTTTAGGGTTTAGGGTTTCTGGGGTGTAGGGCTCATTACGAGAAGGCCCTGCTGGTTGGGAGTGTTCTTTGGCTCTGTGCTGGGTTTTGAGGGTCTGCCCAAGGTTCAGTCTTTATAGGGTTTAGGGTATAGGGTTTAGGGTTTGTGGTATAGGGTATGAGGTTTAGGGTATAGGGTTTAGGGTTTATGGATGTTTATGGTATAGGGTTAGGGTTTAGGGTATAGGTCCTAAGCCCCAAGCCCTAAAGGCCCAGGGTTGAATGGCCTTTGCCACGAGTTGTGGTTCCATGGTGGCCGAGGGGCCCTAAACCCTAAACCCCAAACCCTAAGCGGTTCGCGGTTGGGTGAGCCGGATACGGTTAAGACAAGTTTTTGGTCTCGAGATGCAGCCCATCAGATGCCTCTCACATCCCAGATCTGCGGAATGCCAAAATACCCCCAAACCCTAAACCCTATACCCTAAGCGATCTTAAGCGTGGCCCGTGTGCCCAGCAAGAGGCAGAGCGCGGACAGGGCATCCCCAGGCCCTTCACCCCGCAAGCCCTCGTCCTTCAATCTTGGAATCCGAGACCTTAAAGGGCAGATCGCTTTATTATATATAAAAAAACAAAAAAACTTTTTTATTATTATTGTTATTATTATTATTTTATATCTGTATATTACATATATAATGTTACACATATATATATATTATTAACGCTCTAGAACCCTGAAGCCTCAGCCCGAAAGCTTCTTCCCCCCAAGCCGCAGTTGGGATGAAGGCTGGAGGGCTGTGGTTTAGGGTGGGCCGGCACCCTGTCATAGTGATCCTAAAAAGACCTCAAACCCTAAAGCTCAAAGGCTCCAAAGACCCTAAACCCTAGACCCTACAAGCCCTACAGCCGTTGCGCCCTACACCTTGGAGGCACCAAAACACCCCCTATAACTTAGACCTAAAATTAAAAATTGAAGCACCTAAGCCACAAGCAGCAATATCGTAACCATTAAAACAGGCCCTCGCCTGCAGCCCTGTTGGAACCCCTACTAAAGGCCAAAAGCCCAAATCTTGCAGCAGAGAGCGAGGTACTCACCTTTCGAGCTGGAGTACCTGGAGGCTTCATAGGGCTTGGGTTTTCTGAGGGTTCGCGGTTAAGCATTAAGGGGCTTTTGGAGAACTTGGGTTGGGGTTTCAAAGGTTTGGTCATGGCGTCTGGGGTTCTAATTTTTTTTTTGGAGTCGGGCCTTGTCTCTTCTTGAAGAGATAAGGGCTCCTACTGTTGATGATATAAGTCCTGCGTTACCTTAAGGACCCTACACTATGGGAGTTATGGCATCTTCCTTATTATGGGTAATGCAGGCTTTGTATCATCAGCCGTACTGGTATCAGGTTCGTCAGGGCTTCCTTCCAGGGTTCCTTGGAGTTCCAAGAATGGGTCAGGGCCTTGGGCTGAACTTAAGCTTTGAGGGCTTTAAGGGGTGGGAGCTAACTGTTCAAGATCCTCAACCCTAAAATCCTGAGCCTTATAAGCCCTAAACCCGATTTAAAAAATGCAGAAGATGTCTAAACCCGAAAATCCTGCGCACTACGCCCTACCACAAATCGCGCACTTGGGAACCCCCTCAGTTCGGACCTGGGCTTCGTCTTGAATGGGTGGCGACATCGCTATAAGCTATAACTTGCCATGACGATTCTGCTGGGCTGTTTGTTGTGATATACCTGCAGATGTCTTGCTTAGGTAGCACTGTCCTTGCAAGTACCCAAAAAAGCGTTGGGGGCGTCAGAATCAGGGGGGAGAGTTGGAAAACTGCTGAAGGTCTCCCTGAGGGCTTCGGTATGGGTCTCGCGGTTGAGGGGATCCCTCCGCCCCGAAATACGCTTGTCCCCAAGTGTCGTGTTGAGGTGCGTGTGGTACTGTAGCTCCAAGCTGGAAGCACGAAGACAGCACATGGTCGCGACGGGGGTGTATATGCTTGACGTGAGTTTCGAAGCATAATCTGCTCCTTTCCTGGCACTATGTACAGTTTTCAATGAAGAAGCCCGGATCCTCGACGCTTGCATGATATCAGTCATGTGCTATATACATGGAAGAAGCCCAGAACCCTGAAACCGTGAGCTCTACTGCTATAGCCACTTGGGCAATATTAGGCAACAGCACTTCCCGAAAGAAGTGGTGGCACCCTGAAGGCCAGGGACTACTGGCTTCAGTTTACCGCGGCATGGCAGACCTTACGGGGGTCTGTCGGTCCGGGGGGAAGCTTCGGAAGGTCGTAAAAAAGCTGGTGGGTGGGTCTTGGAGTTAGGGACCAAACTCCTAACCCTTGTACAGAGGACTCTTTCTATGGACTCCCTCGTCTATCCTACCTTACAGCGCTCACTGAGGGCATTCTATTCGGTTGGTTCAGGGTTTTGGGGGGGCGTTAAGGTTCTCTGGCCACGTCATGGATGCTTCTGGTGCCTTTCAGGCCCAAGACCTCACGTGAGGCTGTTCACGACACATGGTGGGTTTCGAAGCACCTTAGAGACATCAGGCGTTCTTGATCCAGTACCGTCAGTTGTCTGCAATTGACAGTGCTCCTGCTAAGCTGATTGCAGGGCTTAGGGTCCATGGTGCAAGGTTCAAGGTTTAGGGTTTGATGTTTTTCAACTGTCGGCGGGCTGTTGTGGTTGGCCTCTTTTTTGTCCAGCGCTGCTGCTGGTTGTTCCGGCCTGAGGTTGATTTGAGCGTACAGGCCTTTCACCCAAGCATGCCAAATC